CACAGGGACACCTGGACAGGTCTCCAGTCCATCACAGGGACACCTGGGGACAATTTAGAGTTACCAATCAGCCTAACATGCATGTTTTTGCTAACCTACACTGCATGCAGAGAACATACAAACTCCACCCAGAAAGTATTCTGATTCATGCTCAATAATCCAGGTAGAAACATTAACAAAGTTAAGTCAGGTCCTCTGGACAGATTAAAAATTTAAATAAATAAAATATTAAAAATTGTTGAAACGTTTCGTCTTTTATCCAAAAGACTTCTTCAGTCTGAGGAGCTGCAACAAACTCAGTTTTATAAATAGCACCTTCTCATGGTGGATCAACCAGTTTGTTGTTGACATCCAGAACTAGCTGTTCACATGATCAAGGAGGACCATCGGCCTAACGATCGTTAGTGCCCTGATGGCTGCTTGTTATTCACAGGGGGCTGAGTGATACTAGCAATAACAGCATTGTAAGAGGGGGACATGTTGGACATGGAGGCCTCCACTCCTGTTTAATGATGGACGGTTTCTTTTCAAAGATGGCCTCCTTTACTCCTCTCTCAAACCATCGTTCCTCTCTATCAAGGATGTGAACATCTTCATCTCTGAAAGAGTGACCTCTGACCTGCAGATGAGTGTAGACCTCAGAGTCCTGGTATGATGATGTTGATCTTCTGTGCTGGTCCATCCTTTTGGCCAGTGGCTGTTTAGTTTCCTCGATGTGAGACTGATCACCCTCCTGACACTGAACAACAATCTCTGCCTTCTTCTCTGTGAGGTGTTCATTTACAAACACCTCCGTACCCTTCAGTTGTTTTACAACTCACAAATCAAATGATGATATTTGTTCCGTTTATCCAAGCTTGTATTTTGTTTTTGCAGCGTTGTGGAACAAGCAGCAAAAGTTTTACTGTCCAGCAAAATTACTGCTGAAGAACCTGATGACTTGCTGCTCCAGTCTGGTGGTGGTCTTCTCCTTTAGTCTTCTGCTGTTGTCCTTCCAGCTCTTCAATCTTCTCCTCCTTTTCTTTGATAATTACTTTCAGTTGTTGAAATTCTCCAAACGCATCAGGCTTGTTTGTTCTTCTCCACCTTGCTCAGTTCTTCTGACATGACATTCGATGACAGCTTGAGTTCTTTGTGTCTTTCGTCACATCTGGAACCATTTTGACTGCTTGTAGCTGTTGAGGATCCTGATCGTTCACTGGGCTGGTGTTGAAGCACATGTGGTGCTTAAAAGTTGAAAAATAGCAGAAATGATCACAAATCTAAATGTTAGTTGAACATCAAAGTGAAACCTTCATGTTGTACTTCAAATATTCAGATTTCCACAGGTCTGCCAGCAGCCATCTTGTTTCATGTGTGGAGGAGCGAGACATCTGAATGTTTCAGGACAACGAACTGAACTAGAATATAGAGTTAATAAATAATATAATACATCATTATATTAATAATAAAATCATAAATAATTCTGATTTCAACTAAACCAACATCCAGAAATCAAACCAACCTTTTGGTTCTGATCCTAAACAGGAAGTGAGCTTTAAATGTTTTTACCCGTCACATTGCACACAGATCAGATGTTCAGAACCAGAACCGCTTCAGAACTTCAAGCCTCACATTTGATCAGAACCTCTCGTTCCCCTCGTGCAGGTCGGTTCTGGAGCTGGGCAGCGGCGCCGGGCTGACCGGTATCAGCATCTGTCGCTGCTGCCGCCCCAGCAGATTCTCCTTCAGTGACTGTCACGCCTCGGTCCTGCAGAACCTCAGAGACAATGTCCGTCTGAACGGTCTGAGCGAGGGGACGCGTCCCGCTGTCAGAGTGGACGAACTGGACTGGACCGCGGTGACGGAGGACAAAATCCGAGACATCGGTGCCGACACCATCATTGCCGCAGGTCTAGACCAGATGAAAGAAACGTTGAAAATAAAGTACAGATCCGTAATGGCCGTTGGTTTTTTTTTTTTTGTGCAGACGTGGTGTATGACCCAGATGTGGCAGGAAGTCTGGTGACCTTCCTGTCCAAGGTTCTGAACTGTGCGTCTCCCCAGGACCCGCCGGACATCTTCATCTGCTCCACCATCAGAAACCCGGAGACATACGGCAGCTTCATACGGCAGCTCGGTAAGAACCGGTCCATAAACGCTTCATGAGACGTTTGTCTTTAGACAAACAGGAAGTGAGTCAGGCTTCCCATTCAGACAGACAGGAAGTAGATCAGGCTTTCTGTTCAAACAGGAAGTGGATCAGGCTTCCTGTTCAAACAGACAGGAAGTGGATCAGGCTTCCTGTTCAGACAGACAGGAAATGGATCAGGCTTAGATTTGATCTCAGAGAAAATTAAACTAAATGGAATATATTTACAGAAGGCTAAAGGTGCCTTTGTAAGGTCAAGAAAGAAGTGGCTGGAAGATGGAGAACAGAATTCAACCTACTTTTTCAATTTAGAAAGACATCATGGAAAGCTGAACTTAATCCAACAACTCAACATTAACGGTGTTTTAACTGATGATCCAAGGAGAATCACAAATTTCTGCTCCAGTTTTTACAGCAATCTTTATCAAACCAAATACTGCCAACAATCGGCAACTTTATTTCTCAGTTCTTTGAATAATGTTAAACAAATTACTGAAGAAGACAAGAAGATATGTGATGGTCTAATAACCCTACAGGTCACCTCTGCCATTGAGCATCTCAAATCTAACAAATCTCCTGGAGTTGATGGCCGATCTGTAGTTTTATCAGACATTTATAGAAGACTCGGCTCCCTTCATACTTAAGGTAATCTTAGAAAGTACAGAACAAGGAACTCTACCTCCAACACTAACTCGAGGCCTGATGATTCCTAAACCTAAAAAGGAACTCCTGTTGATCGATAATTGGCGTCCAATCTCTTTGCTGAACACTGACTACAAGATATTTGCTTCCATACTTGTGAAACGGATTTAAAATGTCTTGGATCCACTTATTGATGAAACTCAATCAGGATTCATGAGAAATAGACATATTTCTAATGATATTCGACTTGTTTTAGATTTAATTTATTACTCATTTCTGTGTCCTGATGACAGTTTTATCTTCTTCCTGGATTTTTATAAAGCATTTGACACTGTAGAGCATAATTTTATATTTCAGACATTTTGGATTTGGTATTTTTTTCTGTAAAGCTGTTAAAACTATGTACACCAACAGTAACGGTTCCATTAGACTAAAAAAATGGGACTTCACCCAGATTTGAATTACAGTCGGGCATCAGACAGGGCTGCCCAGCTTCTCCTCATTTATTCATCCTGTGGACACAACTTCTATCCACTCAGATAAAAAATAGTCCATTAAAGTTTCTTTATTGCAGGTAGAGAACTTACAATCCGTCAACTGGCTGATGACGCCACATTATTCCTAAAAGATGTCACCCAAGTTCCCATTGCTGTCCAGACAATAGACATGTTCTCTGCAGCTTCTGGACTCTGCTTCAACCTGCACAAGTGTGAGCTTTATCCTCTTGAACGCTGCAACAACACAGTGATTTATAACGTTCCAGTCAAAAGCAAACTCTCCTGCCTCGGGATGACTATAATGAAAAACCAGATGCTCTGAAAACTTTAACCCAATTATTGAAAAATCAAGGAATAAACTGAACCAATGGCTTCAAAGAGATCTATCCCTGAATGGAAGGATATTGTTAACGAAGGCAGAGGGATTGTCTCGTCTCACACACGCAGCTGTCCCTCTGGCTGTCCACAAGCCAATCTGTCCCGCCATTGAGAAGTTATTATTCAATTTTATATGAAAAATAAAACACATTATGTGACGAAATCTGTTATTATGAACACTTACGATTCAGATGGTTTAAACTTTCTCCACTTTACTCTTAATAAAACCTTTAAATGAACTGGATGGAGCAGTTTTTACAGAACCTACATCTACGTGGAACTTTATACCCAAATATGTTTTTCTACTGTTGGAGGCCTTGAATATGTACTTCTGTGTGATTAGAAAATAGATAAACTTCCCCTTTGGTTATCAAACTTTCATAAACAAATGTTGTTGGCATGGTATTTAATTTATAAACACAATTTTTCTCCATGTTTCATTTGGAACAATCAACACATCAAATACAAAAATAAATCTATTTTTTTAACTTGTGGTATGATAACGGCATAATTCTAGTATCTCAGCTACTTAATGATAATGGGAATTTGCTGAACCACTCAGTTCTTGCAGACATTTTATTTTCCTGTTACCCCAAAACAATTTGATCTAGTAATGAATCTATTCCCTCTGGTGTTCTAACTTTATTGAAGAGGCTGAGAAACTAGCTGGTGCTTCAACCTTTGAACCCATTAATCGTAATATTAGATCATTATTTCAAGCAGATATTACCAGTACCCCCTATGTTGTTCATTACTGGGCTGGATTTGTAAATAGGCTGAACTGGGTCAATGTGTGGAAACTGCCATATAGATATTTACTGATAAACAAAGTAAGAGAAGTATCTTATAAATTAATCCACAGGTCTGCCAAGCAGTACATGTTAAAATGTAGAGAATATATTTGTGTGGACTGCTCTGTGTGTGAGTCTGAACCTGAGACTATGATCCACCTGTTCTGGCTTTGTCATAAAACTGCCACCTTCTGGAAACGAGTAATCTCATTGATCCAGAGAAAGAGTGACTAATTTTTGTTTAAGTTGGAACAATGTGCTGTTTGGAGTCCGTGATACCAAAAACAAAAAACAGAACTATACATCATAAATTTCATCATACTTTTAGGGAAATATCATATACACAAATCAAAGGTTAGTCACTCTGTTCCTTCTTTTCAGGCCTTCCACATGGAGTCTGAACAGAACGTTGTAAACATTTGTGACTCAAGCAACAAGAAAGATCTAAAAACATTTGATTTGTGTTCTCTAATGTGTTGACTTGAATAATCCCTCTGGCTTTTGTTCTTTTTTTTCGTTGAATGTATATTGATAACTATCATGTAATGTTTTACTTTTATTTAATAAATTAAAAAAAATTAATCAGACTTCCTGTTCAGACAGGAAACTGTTTTTTTTCCTTCCAGTTTGTATTTCAAACATCAGAAAACTGAAACTCTTTTGTTTTCTAGAAACGTCAAGGATCGGCCTCCAGGTGATGTCCGGACCCGTCAAACGGGTCTTTCCCTACAACAGAACCGCCCCCATCGAACTGATCCGACTGTTCCTTCATTAAAATAAAAGCTGCAGCAGAATAAAGATTTTATTTACAAACTGTTGCTACAGCTCAGTGACGTTTGGTTCCTGGACCAGCACAGACCAGTCATCTCTGAGCGCACATCAGAGGGAGGACCTTCTGGTCCCAGTTGTCATCCCAGGACTGGCCCCTGCTGGTCCGGAGGTTCCTCCTGAAGGCTCCCAGCTGACCGTCTGGACTGGGAAAGTTCACCAGCAGAGTCTGGGACACACAAGAACAACAAAACCTTTATTCATGTCAGAGTCCAGTCCACCTGTGGTCTCTGATCGAGTCCGCCTCACCTGGAGCTGCACAGCGAGCTCTGCAGCGTCCCTGAAGATCAGACCGTTCTCTTCGTGCTTCACCAGCTCAGGTAAACTGCAGAACAGAGCAGAGGTCCATTAGGTGGTTCTGTTGCAGCTGGAGGATGTTTGGACCAGAAACTGGAGCAGGAGCGACATGGTTCAGCTCATCTTCGGCTGCTAGTTCAGCTCATCTTCGGCTGCTAGTTCAGCTCATCTTCGGCTGCTAGTTCAGCTGCTGCTAGTTCAGCTGCGATTTAATGAGACTGAACTTTGTTCTGAGTGGAGAAACATCTGAAAACCTTCAGATTCAGTTCTGTTGGTCTCTGTGTGGTTCTGACCCGGTCTCTGCGTGGTTCTGACCCAGTCTTTGCGTGGTTCTGACCCGGTATCACAGCGTTTCTCACCAGCGGAAGCTGACGGCGCAGACAGGGAGACAGCAGCCGAACATGTCCACCACCTTCATGGGCAGGTCCAAACCACTGGAGGACACGTGGAGACAGACTCCCAGGTCTGCAGCACCTGCAGGACACGGAGACGCAGCTGAGACCACTTCCTGACAGGAGGAGGGAAGTTCTGTTGGACTCTGAGGTTCTGAGCTGTCAGTAAAGGATGAAGAACATCATTAGAACTTTCTGTTCCGTCAGAACTGACCCAACAGGAGAGGGTAGTCCTCGGCGTGGAGCCACGGCGTGCAGATCCTGACGTGCTGCAGCTGCAGGGCGTCTATCAGCGTCTTGTAGTGTCCCTTCTGAGGACCCTTACCTGCACACAAACACAACGTCTGGTTCTGTTGGACCCAGCTGCGTCAAAACCTCAGGTTCTGTTGGACCCAGCTGGGCTCACCTGTGATTACGCAGAACAACGGAGGTAAAGAAGCTCCTCCTCTTCCTCCGGCGAGCCTGTCGTACTCTGTGGGGAGAACACACGGAGGACATGAAAGCCGGTTCTGTTGGTTCGGTTCGTTTGGGTCAGATCAGAATCTTGTTGGACCTTCCAAAGCCTTCAGCAGGACGGAGAAGTCTTCATCTTCTGCAGAGGAACCAGAGACATCGGTCAAAGAGACATCTGGAATAAATCAACATCTGGGTTTACGGGCGGTTCTGACCCGTCCAGCTGGTGCTGCTGACGAGCAGTGCCGGTCGGTCCGACCTCAGAGACACAGAACCGTCCCGTGGGTCACGGATGGTGAAGATGGTGGTCTCTGCGTCCGTCTCCTCGGACCTGAGAACGGACCGGAGGAGGTTTTGTTACAGTTTCTACAAAGACCGGGCCACAAACCAGAACTTAATCTATTACCAGAACCGGGTCAGAACTTCCCTGTTCCAGAACATTTTCAGTTAAAGGTTCTGACTCCAGTCAGACAGAAGGAGCTCCTGAACCTGGTCCTGCTGGTGGGCCCATCAAACTGTCACAGAACTGAGAACTGGATCTGGACTCTGATCCACAAAACCACCAGACTGGACTGCCTTTCCAGAAGAACCACATGAAGGAGCCCAGAACTCCTCTGGATCTGGACCCGTGTCTGGACCAGGACCAGAGTCTAGATCTGGACCAAAGCCTGGATCAGAGCCAGAGTCTGGACCAGAACCAGAGTCTGAATCTGGGCCAGAGTCTGAACCAGGACCGGTCCAGACTCTGGCCCAGATCCAGAGAGTAGAGCAGAGCAGTTTTTGTTTCACCTCTCCAGAACCGTATTTGGACCCGAGCGCTCACCCTGAGTTCTGGAACTGTGGGTGGGTCTGGGCGAGTCTGGTGAAGAGCTGGTGCTGCAGGTCCAGAGGAGTCTCTCTGAAGATGGAGGCGGGCCGGTCGTACAGAGTTGTGGCGCTGAAAACACAAAGTCCAGCAGGTTATGGACACCGGGGGGGGCTCCTCCCCCAGAACAGTTTGAATAAAGTAAATGTCACTTCCTGCATTCTGGAGTATTTTAATGGTTGTTAAACATCGTTGACCTCAAGTAAACACACGATTCAATAAACAGGTGCTGGTCATCAAATTAGAACATGATGAGAAAGTTGATTTATTTGGATTTATTTCAGTAATTCTGTTCAAAAAGTGAAACATGTATATTATATTCATTCATTACACACAGACTGACATATTTCAAATGTTTTTTCTTTTAATGTTGATGAGAATTCCTCCGTATTACTCTGGGACCTTGATTTCCAAAGGAAATGTAAAATTTACTTTCATCAGAGAACATAACTTTGGACATGTCATCTGCTGGTGTTGGTCAACAACATGTATCAGCCAGGAGTCGGCAGGGTCCAGCAATCGCTGAGAGCTAACAGGAGCCCAGCAGAACGTGGCTTATTGTCCTGCAGCCATTTTGAATCTCCAGAGTTTTAAGGGTAGAAGTGGAAGCTTCTGTGATATTAGGAAGCTCGTATGTGGCTGTTGTGTTTAAAATGAGTGTTTATGTAATTATTTTCAGATTACATGTCCAGTATAGGTTTTATTTGTTTAAGGCAGTCATATTTATTCATAACTTTATTATTAGTCAGCCTGAGTTACTGGATCCAAGCAAATAGTTACCATAACACACCCTGTCAAAATAAGAGAGTTCCCAGATCCTGTTCCAGCAGGAACAGGCTCAAATTAAGCCCTGGTTATGGACCTTTTGGTTCTGGTGGTCCTGCAGCACTTGATGACAGAACATGAAGCTGCTCATCAGGTTCTGTTCATCATTCAACAGAACCTCGGTCAGATGGTTCCTTTACGGTTCTTCAAACAGAGTGAAACAGAACTTTAGGAAGAACCCACCTGATGGCCCAGTTGGTCTTCAGGTCATCCCTCATGGCCTCGGTGACGCACAGGTTGTTGGAGGACAGAGACCCGAAGACACGCTCATACCTGAAGGATGAGAGGACACGTGACCTTTGATTACATTCATCATTCCTGCATCTGGACCAGGTCCACTGAGACCAGGTCCACCAAAGATCCTGGCAGCTGCATTTCTAACATCCTTCTACCAATATACCCACTGTCCCTTCTCTAGACATGTCCAAACCACTGTCCCTCCTCTGGACATGTCCAAACCATCTCAGTCTGGTCTCTAACTTTATCTCCCAGTTGTTCAACCTGTGTTGTACCTCTGATGATCTCATTCCTAATCTTATCCATCCTTGTCACTCCTAAGGAGAACCTCAACATCTTCATTTCTGCAACTTCCAGTTCTGTCTCCTGTCTTTTTGTCCATGTCTCTGTCTCCAGACAATACAACATAGCTGGTCTCACCACTGTCTTGTAAACTTTTCCTTTGACTTTTGCTGACACCCTTTTTTCACGAATCACTCCTGAAACTTTTCTCCATCCACTCCATCCTGCCTGGACTCTCTTCTTCACCTCTTTACCACACTCCCCATTTTCCTGGACAATGGATCCCAAGTCCTTGAAGTCCTGCACCTTTGTGACCTCTGCTCCTTGTAGCCTCACTGTTCCACCTCCTCCCTCTTACACACATGTACTCTGTCTTACTACGGCTGACTTTCATTCCTCTTCTTTCAAGTGCACATCTCCACCTCTCCAAGTTCTCTTCCACCTGTTCCATTCTCACCACAGATCACAATGTCATCTGCAAACATCATAGTCCATGGGGATTCCTGCCTGACTTCATTTGTTAGACGGTCCATCACCAGAGCAAACAAGAAGGGGCTCAGAGCCGATCCTTGATGCACTCCCACCTCCACCTTGCAGCTATCTGTCACTCCATCTTCAGGGAGGCTGTTGTGAATGTGGGCAAGCTAGACTTGGAGCAATACACATCCTCAGTCCTGGAGTACATTAATAAATGTGCTGATGACCTCACCACCATCAGATATGTTAAGAGCTACCCGAACAGAAAACTCTGAATGCAGAGGTTCGCACCCTGCTGGAAGCCAGGGACACTGCCTTTAGGTATGGCAACTCACAGGAGCTGAGAAGGACAAGGAAAGCGCTGGTTACTGGTATTAAAAGGGCCAAGGCTACATATGCACAGAGGATCCAGGGTCAATTCACCTCACAAGACCTACGGAGCACGAGAAGGGGCATTAAGTGTGTAACAGATTATAAAGACAGAGGAGCACAATGCCCTAGAGACCCATCCCTGTCTGATGCCTTCAACAAGTTCTAAGGCACATGTTGAAGACCTGAACAGACCACCCAGCACCAGACTCATCTCACCACCGGAAGAGGAGTTTCTTAGTGTGACCTCAGCTGAAGTGAAGAGTACTTTCAGGCAGATTAATCCTCACAAAGCAACTGGCCCAGACAACATCCCCGGAAAAGTGTTGAAAGACTGTGCCGATCAGCTACACAGTAAAATTTCCAGAGTAAAATTTACTCAATTTGAAAAA